GTAATGTAAAATCTGAAAGCTTTCAGGTTTCTTTTTTCTTTTTTCTTTTTCTCTTTTTTTTTTTTTTTTTTTTTTTTTTTTTTTTTTTTAAGTTAATTCTGATTTTATCTTCTCGGGCTCCAGGAAATATACCACGAGACTTATACAAGTAAGTTACAACACTAACTAACTAAATAAATAAGAGTATAATACTACCGCAAAGGAGAACAAAATGGAATAAACAAATTCTTAATATTTGAAGAAAATAAAAATATTAAACAAAATATAATAAAATAGGAAGAACTGAATAATCTAAAGTGAGAATAAAATTGCGAAAGGCAGAAACTGCCTCTTTAGTCCGTAACAGTTCAAAATTTGTTTTTTCCTTCTAAAGTCTATCTTGAATTTCAATTTTAGAAACGTGGGAGGTAGAACTTTCATTTGTTTTTAAAACGGTCAAAAACAGGTGTCGAATGGAATTAGAGTTTGAAGAAGTGAAATAAAATGACACAGTTTTATTTCACTTATTTGTTTATTTCTGTTTATTTATTAGTACTGTTAAACAAATTCTTGTCAGGAGCTGGTATTTGAAACTGAAAATTAAATTTTATTTTGCTGAGTATAAATGTCATGTATTGCCATCGCATTCCAACAAACAAATATAAATTAGAACTGTGTCCTGAATTTGTAAGGAACTAACCTAAATTGTCGCAAATATTCTTCAATAATTATATATAACTTTTAAGTCAGACTATGCAGTATATCATTTAGCACGCAATTTCCTAATTTGATTTTAATGGATACCCATGTTGATATTCGAAATCTTAAAAAAATAAATAAATTTAAAAAAGGGCAAAAAGGGGGGAAAAACTCTTACTCTGTATATAAACCAATAATCAGAATTATCTTTTAAATATTAATTAAAATAATGCTGCGAATGGTCATAAAATTACCTGTTGGATATATTATAAATTAAATATATTAAAAAAAGTAAAAAATCTGAAAGCTTTTAGATTTTATATTACGCCCAAAGGGGAGTTTTGTTCTTCCCACTTAAACCATGAAATTCAATTCAACAGTGATATCACAAAATATTTAAAAAGAGCATATCTTTAGAATTTCCGATACGCAGTCTCGCGAGCTAGAATTTTTTTTTTTTTTTAAACAGTGTTGTTATTTCTAGCTTTGCAATCGTCGAGTTTGTTAATAAAAAATTCGTTAAAAGTTTACAAAATATTAAAGTATTAAATTACAGCACCGTCCTTAAATCTATTACTTATTTATGAGGTGATCAATTTTTGCGTATTTTAGGTTTGCTGACAAAAGGTGCGTCACTTTCATCTGCTGTCGAATGTTAGGTGAAATGCAGCATACATGCTTTGTGTTTAATAATTAGATTGAAATCTACACGGATAATTTTCGGTTTTCAACTACAGATTTAAATAATGACAATTCTCCAATTACTTTTTATTTCTTCTTAATATTTTCACTTTCGGATGGTCACGAATCACAGTAAAAGTTTCGTTTGTTATCGAAAGGTGAAATCATATAATGGTATCAGTCATTACATTTTCCATATATCTTATTATTCGACAGATATTAATGACACGATGGTTGAATTTGGATTGGATTTTAATATCGTATCGGTATTCTTACGACTCCATCTGATCATTTATCTTTCAAATCTGAAATGGGTTTTGAAAATTCAATCGTAAACTGTTCTTTCCAGTTTGATTTAAGAGTAATTGTAACAGACCTATTTAAGTGTAATTGAACTATTTTATTCACGCCATGAACTCATGAACTGTAACCGAACTATTTTATTTAAACGCCATCTCGTGGCGATATGAAAAAAAACGTCAGTCGACCTCCAGCCGCCATGATGATAGCTTACTATGTTATGTTATTCTCAATGTTTGATGTTCCATTTGGTATATGTTTCATTTTTATGTATATTTCTTTTGTTTGTAACCGTTCCTGTGTGCTCTGTTAATAAATCCTTTTAAAGCTAGCCGGCATTAGTGTCTATTGAGGAACGGCTACATCACATAATTAGGATCTGAACTGAAGAATGTGTTTAGGAAATTTTGCGTGATAAATCTTTATGTGAATTGATAATGCACTACTACTGTTGCAGCCTACCGGTTTGTGGCTGCTATCTTTTTGAATAATCACTCTGCACGAAAAGCTAGAAATTTACATTAGAGTTTATTATGAAAAAAAAAAAAAAAATTGAAAGCTTTCAGATTTTATATTAAGCCAAAAGGGACGTTACTTTGACGTTTTGTGCATTACTTTTATTTATTAAATATCATGTTCTTCTCACTTAAACCATAAAATTCAATTCAACAGCAATATCACAAAATAATTTAAAAAGAGCATATCTTTAGAATTTCCGATAAACAATCTCGCGCGCTTGAGATAAAAATGTCCCCCCCCCTCGTACAGTGTCGCCATTGCTCACTTTGAAATCGTTGAGTCCGTTAATCAAAAATTCATTAAATCAAAATATGAAATAGATAATGAAACTAATTCCAAATTCTAAATTTGGGCTGCTAGATCCCCATATTCGAGCGGAGCACTACGTTATTCAAAATTTGATGTCTCTAGGTACCGTTGTTTTATCACAATGCGAGAAACGAGAAACATACATACATTCAGGCAGATTCTTCATTATTTAATTTCTTTAAATATAATACAGAGCTCTAATATTTGGTGGCAACAATTTGAAAAGTGAAACGCCATTTTATAATGGATGACGCAAAATGCCAAAACGAGATTAATAGCCCTTCTGGGTAAATTGCCTCTTTGGGCTAAATATTAACTCAATCAGACTGATAGTTGAGAGCAAACAAGGTCATTAGTAGTTTGCTGTGAGGATTATTAATCTTTACTGCAAATTTCTGCCACTGTAACGCTTTTTCAGGGTGCAATACTTTTCCAGCATTAATGTTTATTCAGAACTGTAAGATCGAGTATGTTGTATATATGCGGTCCTGGCATTTTTCACTACACAATGCTTGAGATAGTTGCCTTAATGAATTTTTATCTGAAATGTAGGTGCTAGGAATAATTTCAGATAACGGGGAAGCTAATGACTTGATGTACTTTATCTATACAGGATATTTAAAGAGAAGATAGGACAGAAAATTGTTGAGAGCCATTATGGGTGATACTATCTATGCCTAGGTTTGCTACAATGTTTATTAGTTTAGTGATGTTTCTTCTGTACTTTAGTCGAATAGATTATTGGAATAAAATTAAACTAAAATTGGCTGTCAAGGTCGTTGGTCACCTTTGACCTACAAGTTGATAGTGACCAGTGAGGAAAGCAAATAAATTTAAATAGATTAAAGTAAATAATTTGAAGGACACGGGTGACCACCAAGGTCGTTGATCACTGGAGACATATGGATTTTCGGTCAACAATATGGTAAAGTGCACAAAATTACCAAGAAAGTGATTTATTGTTTGAAATCGCTCAGTTTATTTTGCATTAATAATCTTGTAAGGTATATTTTCATCTTATAACGGTCATTTCAATTTCGATGGGCTTTCCTATCGATTTTTTTTTCCTCTTACAACTCTCTACCAGAATGAGTTTTTAGAATGACTTTGAATGCAAATGGTTTAGAAGTAGTATTAAAAGAAGGTTCAATTTAATTCGAGAGAGAGCTAGGAATCCTGAGTAGTGGCATTTGCCTTTGAGTTAAGTTTCTCTAGAAGCTGTTACGCTCGGCCGTATATTATGTTGCTTTTGATAGTCGCCGGATAATTTAAATAAGGCGCCAACTACGTTAGATTTGTGTTAGCTTCGGCTAAGTCTCTTTTAGTTAGTTCTCATTTCTTATTTTGAGTTCAAGCTCGAGTGGAGGCTTTGTTGTAAGCAAGAGAAAGGGGCCAACTGTTCATCTTATTTTGAGTGAAATAAAGGGTACTTAACCCTTTTTGAGTCTACGACTTCTATTTCTTGAACTTAGCGATAAATCGCTAACAAATTTACTTTCTCAACGTTCATTTTAGTACAAAAAGAGTGAGAAGCTCTAATCTGAATGATAAAAAAATGCTTAGCCAACTGGTAACGCTCTTGAGAACTTGCCATTCCTAAGACCGCATATAAGAAAAGATAGATTGTCATGTTTTACTCAGTGACATTTGGCAAGTCACATGCACGATACCGTATTGTAATAATCGAAAAATTTTGGAAGAACTGTGCAAAAAAGTGTTTGTAACATCAAAACTGAATTTAAAGTTACATGTGACAGTTCAATAGAGTGGCCCAGTTCAATGTTCCTAGTTCAGTGGCAGCCATTTGCCAACATGAGTAGATAATAATGGATGATAGCATAATGTAATGCTCCAAAAATTCTGAAAGCATCCGCTAAGGATGTTTCTAACGTCAAAATAATTGAATACTGATCAAAATAAAAGCACACAGAAAATAGTTGCAGCATCTTACGAGGAAACTTCAGTTTATGGAATATTTCCAGTTAAAAACGTTCGATTCGTCAAGAAAAGTTAGTATAAATTTGTATTATAATCTATTTGCACTAAATTTTCAATTCAAGTAATCGGAGATCTTTTGTCTAAAATTAGAAATCCCTGAGCCTATGGAAGATCGCCAGAAGCAGTGAAAAATAAATAAATAAATAAATTATAAAACAGTAAGTAACGTATAATTAAGATCAAATGACATGTACAGGTAAAAAATTATTTAAAATGATGTTAAATAAATGATAAATAGGTAAAAATTGAATTGAAATATCACAAAAATTAAATTAAATATCAAAATTAATTAATAATAAACTTAAAAACATGATAAAAATCAAATAAAGTAATAAAACAAATAAGTTGAGTAAATTAACGATAACAAAACGTGATCAGGAGGAGGAAAAACGAAGTACGTATTTTTAACAATATACAACAATGCGTTCAGATATAGCATCTTTATTTTGCTGGTTAATCCATTTGAGCCTTCTCGATTAAATAAACACGGTCCAAGCTTTCTTGACTGGTACAACCTATTAAAATTCCTCTTGAAAAGATCGCATTCCGACATAGAGATTTCCATCCACAGCTGTTCGTTCACGTTTGCCTGCGTAATTTGCACTTCCTACAGAAAGTGAAACTTCCATTCAGTACCTGGAATAAGTATCAGTTTTAAGTACTGATAAAGAAAGGATTGCAATAAAAAATACTTTTTTTTTTTTTTTTTTTTTTCTTTTTTTGTTAATATCACGATTTAGTATTAAAAAGAGAACCGGAACTAATCTTATTATGGGTTGCGTTGCTTTCTGACTGAAAGTATAATCTCATTCAAAAACGGAGACGGTCTAATTTAAGATCCCTGACTAATATCAGAGTTGCTTTAAAGCATTCACGCATGCACCACTTACATTATAAATTTTTGGAGTTCAAGAATAAGTCTTATTTGGGGGGGGGGGCATGGTTTGCACTTTCGCTTGTTTTTCCTCTTTCACAAGGTCAATACTATTTAGTCAAAATATTACGTCAGTCACTCATCGTCACGCAAACTGCAATTTCAGCACCCCCGTAACCAGGGGGAACACGTGTCTTCCGACATGAATATCCGGTCTTCTGGTGCGCGAAGAACCGGAAATCGCTCCCAATTTATCACAACTGTTGGTCGAGCCAGTCGGACGCGAAGCTTATAATTGAAGGAGTCATAATTGCTGCACTTCCCTTCAAGTTTGGAAAGGAATGCAAATAGTATAAAACCACGAAATGTGAGTTATTTATTGTGAGTGTGTGTAGAGGATGATATTTCAATTTTCTTATCTCCGCTGCTCACTTTATGCTTTTAAGCGAGGAGTTTGTTTGTTTTGCTTTATTTTATTTTTCTTAAGTTCTAGTAGCAATGGAAAAATAAAATACAATTAAAAAAAGTTTATATAAAGAAGCTTTTATTTAAAATACATATGATAACTAATGCACTAAATGGAGAAAAATAATTTATCATTTGATTTATTAGGAATAATAATTTAAATAATAGAATTCTAAAATTTTAAATAAATTCAACAATAAATAAGCATGGGGGGCACATGAATACAATAACGCCCATGGCGATATGGGGCGCCCGTGAATGCAATTAAATTAATATTAAATTTTAAAAGGTAATGGTTTCTTAATTTAGATGCCCCACGCTTTCATGATTCACGATATAAAATTATAGATGAATTATGTCATTTAATTTATAATTCCCATTAAACTATATTATAAATTATTTTTCTCCTTTTAGTGCATTAATTATCATATCCATTTTAAATAAAAGCTTAGGTATAAAAACTTTTTTTTAATCGTATTTTTTCTTTTTGGTTTTTGGTCTATATTACGTTATCACTGATGAAATTTTTATTCATTATTAAAACACAAGCATAAATTAAAAGAAAATTGTGAAGTTTTGGAAACTGGATATTACAACCAGCATGTTATTTAAAGCTAAAATGAAAAACGAATATTGCCAGTTCGTCATTATGTGCGCCAAGATGGCAAACGTAAAAGCAGTTTTTCGGCGAAAAAGGCTTTTTTTTAGCTCGTCTGCTTCAAACTGCAATATTTTTTTTAATGTAAAAAATCGTTCAACTAGTTTATTATTATTATTATTGTTTTAAAAGAGAGCGGTTTATTTTATAATTTGTAAAAATTTCGAAACTTGATATCCGATACATTTTTAGATTTTGGCATTTTAAATCATAAACGTCAAATACTGTAAATAATTAAGCGATTTTCAAAAATTCTCGCAAAACTAAGAAATTAAGTTACAATTTTCATATACGTTTCATTGGAAAGATTTTTTTCCGCTTTATTCAATGGTGCAAACAGTAAAATCTGATATGCTTAGTTTGTTCGTTAAACCAAGATATAAGCGAAAAATCGTTTAAACATCTTTAAAAAAAATTTTTAAAAATCTGAATCGAATTTCGAAAACACAATTTCACAGTGTTGCATTGCCTTCGAAAAACAGTCATATACAAAATTTGAATTCGATAACTTATCAGGAAATAAGCTAAAAATCGGTGACAAAATTCTACTATGAAACGCCGTGAGTGAACTAGATAAAAGCTTTTAATAAAAGTATTTAAATTTCAGTTTACGCATCTCGCAATGTTAAGTGCATATATACAAAAAGTTCATGTGTTTTCCAAAAAATTTGGCATATTTAACTATCAAGATATAAGATCCAGTCTTCTAGTCTTCTTGACTAACATATACTACTACTAGACCTCCTTGAAATCCTTTTTAAGCGACTTCTTGCTAAAACTAGAAGAAGACTACAACAAGGTAAGGGTATAAAAACTCTTTTATTGAACTCACTTCTTTACGGATGGCATGGTTTTATGTACTTACAAAATCCACTATCCATATGTGGTGATAAAACTAAAGATATAGTAACAAACTAAATTTAAGAGATGAGCTAGTAGTTAAAGACTACGCAAATTAATTTAATCCTATCAGGTTGACTCAGAAACCTACACTGGTATGATATTAAACTTCGGCGGCAAGAATTCAGGATTCAAACAGCTAGTAGAACGTAGTCGTGGTTTTTCCCCATGTGTAGCGTGTTAAACATGAGCCAATTTCCCTTAGAAAGTACTCCACGAATGCATCCCTCCCTTCCGTGTAGTACCTTAAGGCGAAACATCTAAATAATAATAATATTGGATGCTTACATAATTATACTGGTTTTCAGCTCTTACCAGTGCTTCATGGTATCCTATATAGAACCTCACCTTAAATATTCTTCATAATTTTATCATTCATGGGGATGAGAATGGCGAGCGACGCGCTAAGATAAATGAGCAATTTTATTTATCGCCGTTTGGCAATAGCGTGTGTTTGCATCACACGCGCTTTCACCAAAACTGAAAACAGTAACAGCTCTTTGAGGTATTAAAAAAAAAAAAAAAAAAAAAAAAAAGAACAAGAACGATAGATGAGAAAATAAGTTTACTTAACACTACAGGACTTTGAACCAGAGTGCACTTTTATAGAGTAGTTAAAAAATAAATCCCTACAAATAAAAATATTTTGTTGCTCAAACAATGTGCCAAAACGAGCGATAAATTATTCCTTACGGCAAACTCTCAGAAAGTCATAGAATATTAGCTTTGAAGACTTGGATTAAGAAAAAAACAAGGCAGAAGAGTAAAAAGCGTCTAAAAGGAGACAGCGTTTGGTCTCTCTGCTTAATTATGTCTAATTGCATTATCGGACCCTTTTTTTCTTCCAGGGGTCATGAGGTCGCTACCAAGGCCTGAGACTCTCACACAACTCTTGCCTATCTATTCTATTCTGGGAGGCAGAATTAGGTCATGAATCGCGTCCATTCTTTGTGATAACACAGCTTTTGTAAAGAAAATAGAATACAAATTTATCGCTAAAAATGATAGCACGATATTTAACGAAACTGAGGAAGTCAGACTCTGTCTGGGCAGTAGCCGACACAAGTTACTGTGTCTCTAATCAATTCTAATTTACAAATAAACATCTAAGAATCCGCCGAATATGAATGACTGACTTCCGACTATGAATATGTACCTACGCATGCGAATAGTTATCCGCTTTTCTGCTTCTATAAGAGATTTAATTCATGCAACTTATAAGCAATTTTAGGCAATGCGTTTGGGAAAATTTTGTAAGAAATTAATTTTAATTTAAAACGAAATAATCAGTTTGTACTTTTCCATCAGTTATTACAATCTTGCAATTTTATTTAACAAAATATTTCCTTTATAACAGTTAATTATTAATCTTGTAGCTTTCTTTTTGTAGATCAACAAAATGTTGCAGTCAAGCCTTCAATGTAGGTTAGAAAGTAGTATTTCGCTTATTATTATTGTTATTAGTCCAAAGGGGCAATTTGCCCTAGAACTATTAATTTCGTTTGGGCATCTTGCGTCGATTTACGATAAGCGTTGTTTCACTTTTCAAATTGTTGCCACCAAATACTATCGCCCTGTATTATATTTAAAGAAATTAAATAATGAAGAATCTGCATAATTGTATGTATGTTTCTCAAATTGTGATAAAACAACGGTACATAGAGCCATCAAAACTTGAATAACGTAACCTTCCATAGAATATAGGCATGTGGAAACCCTAATTTGAATTTGAAATTTTTTTTATAATCGATTTCATATTTTGTAACACTTCAACGAATTTTTGATTAAAAAACTAAACGATTTCAAAGCGAGCAATGGCATCACTGTACGAGGAAAAAAACATTTTTATCTCCAACGCGTGAGACTCTGTATCGGAAATTCCAAAGATAGGCTCATTTTACAATTATTTTGCGATATTGCTTGTTTAAAAAACGCCCCTTTGGACGTAATTTAAAATCTGAAACCTTTCCAATTTTTTTTTAATTATTTTTATGTCTGTAAACACAAATAAATCATTATAGTGAGAATTGTTACTGACTGCAATTGATTATTATTCAAGTATTTGTTTCTAACTATAACATTTCCGAATCGTTATAGTTAATGATAAAATCTTGTCCGTCATAAATACGACGTTGCCAGTAGATATCTTCCATTGACTTCAATATTATTATAAAAACGTTCTCGTTAGCGAAAACGTTAATCATTTAAAAAGAAATTTTATTTGGACTTCTTAACAGCATTAGTTAGGAGCTGTTGTATTATTTTATGGCATACATAAAACAGATTTTTGTCAGAATCTACATAATTATTCAACAGCAAAGCTTCTACCTTTACTTCAAGAATACACTGTTTTCTTCATTAAAATAAAATCTAATCAGTATGATGAAAATTTAATTTAATTTAACAAATTATTGAAATTCCAAAAATAATAATTGATTTTGAGCAAATACAACAATTAAAATAAAAAAAATCTTTACGATCATGAAATAAATTTTTCCCCCTCCTAAAACGAAACAGCCAAAAAATACAAATATGTAGACATCAAGGCAAGAATTAAATAATTATTTAAAACTTAGTCAAAAATACTAAAAAAACTTCTTAATAGTACAAAAGTAAGCAAGTATAAATTTTAAGGCAATAATAAATTGATAAATTAAAAATGGAATAATTTTTTATAAATAAAGATTGATTCAATCTAGTTCTTTCTCAAAGAAAGAGGCCAGTTTGAATAAATCTTCCTTTATTTAAATGTTAAAGCCATATTTCTGATCCGCAAATCAAGCAGTAAAAAAGCGAGGAAATTTCAATTGAGGAAAAACTTGATTATAAATAATAAATTTTTGTCTTATGCTGATTTGGTCTTATGTCTGTCTATGTGGCTTTTATTTACAACAAAAATAAATTAAAACTTATGTGTAGTGATTTAACCAAAGAATTTTTTTCATTCTTTTTACTTTTACTGTTTTTTTTTAATTAAAAAAATAATTTAAGAAATAAATGAATCAATTGCCGAAAATAAGGCTGTAAATTTTCTCAGGTATTAAAAATCAGGCTTTATTTTTATTTAATGGTAAAATCCGCTTGTATGTAATTTAAAAATTGCTTCACTGTAATTTAAAATATTTTGAATAAGGGTTTTTTTCATTATATTGTTATATTGTTAGCAAATTTTCTACAAACTCTCTCTCTTTTACTTTACTGTATTAGTTAATATTAAACAATCTGACTTCTTGATTGACACTGATTTAGTTTCCGGGTTGCTTTATTTCCTTGATTTAATCTTCATGGTTTATTGTTTGTCTTCGGAAAGATACATTAATTCTTACTCAAAGATACTTACTAGCATAGCTTGATTTCTTTGACAGAAACAAGTCATAAGTATTCTTCTTTTACTTACAAACTAGGACATCTGGAAAAGACAAATTTATTATATCATGCTTCCTTAAAGTCTATTTTAGCATTAATGTTATAAGCGTGCAATAAAAATTCATCCAGTTTATCACGACCGAATGATTAATGTATCACCCACATACCTAAAATCACAATGTAGATTTAATTTAACAAAATTCGATGTTCTTCCTGAACTTTGCCTTTTAGAGATTTAGAGCAAGAGTAATGAAAGTGATTTCATGAAAACTACTTTTCTTTCGAAATATGTTTTACTTTGAATGAAGAAGTAACCAGATAGAAAATTTCATTTAAATAATTCAGACATTTTTTGTTAAATATTTCGTGAATTTCAAGATTTATCAGTTTAAGCTACAATTGTAATTTTGCAGGAAATCTTACTCAAATTACAGGAAAAATAAAAAGAGCAATTGACATTTTAGCTTTCATTTTTCGTTTATTTACTTCTTAGATGATTCATAACTTTCTAAGATACATTTATTAGTCTTTTAAATTGAAAAATACATTATGCAACAAAATAAATCAATAAAAAAGTTTGTATGGCTTAATAATATTTTGCAACGAATATTATTAATATGTATTACATTAATACAAGAGGTCTCGATGTTTTGTATTACAAAATTTCTCTCTAAATTGCCTTAACTTAAACTATCGTCTGCATCGAAAAATATTATTATGATAATTATAAAATTCTTTAACAACAAATAGATTATGTAGTTTTTTTTTCCCCATACCTGAATGTCATTTACAAAATGATTCTGATCATAGGAATTCGCTTATTGTATTTTAGAAAAATAACTCTTTAAAAAGTGTAAACTTTATTAAGAAAAAATTGTCTTACTTAAAGAGAGTAGCAGGGCAAAGAATAAATTTTAATGAGGAATTTTAACTGTTTAGTGAATGGCAAAAATTTTCTCCAGTCGCAGAAGTTATCCTTAGTTTTAAAACCTTCCGCTATTTTTTTAAAAATTTACGTTGATATATCACGGCCAGTAATTAAACGAACTCGCCTTCATGTGTTAGCATGGAATTTGAAGAATCAAACTGCAAATTTTTAATTGTTAATTCTAAAATGGTTAAACGTGAAATTTATAAATTTCCATGCAGGTTTTATTTGCTGCTGTGAAAGTAGGGAAAATAAAAACGAAGGAAAGAATTTTCAAAAGCGAATGGAAATTTCTTATTACCTGCATTTAATCACAGTTCAACTGGTGGTCGTGTCAGTTATGCTAAAGCTTGTTGTGACATGCTGCCACTTGTTTTCTTTCAGTTCGTGTCTTCTGTGTTGCCAGATTTGTTAAATAAAAAAGACATTAACGATAGTGAATAAGAATATTTATGCCGTACTCGAGAAAATTGCTCTTTTCCCGGAAAACGTAAGCTCTAAGCAATTCCCGCGAGAACGGTAAACAATAAACCGAATCAAGTAGAGAACAGGAAACGTCAGAGATGCAAATATTAAATTCTGCTTACTGACTCTACCAGACGAGCGTTAGATCTTTATTTTAGAGGTGGTTAAATAAGAAGAATAAATTTGTGAAGGGCTGCCATTTTTGTCAACTTCACGCGGGACATGTTAAAGCTTTTTAATCTTTGAAACCTTCTATTATTTTTACCCTATTAGAAACGTTCATAAGAAGTTTTTATTAAATCTTTCTGCATTTTCCAAATTATTATACCACATAACGCTATCATGCATATGCACTCGCCTCAGCAAATTTTGCTTCATTCCGGAATACAAAATTTTAAATTTATCTTCTCTGCAACATCGATCATATCCACTTCTCAAAGTGCTTCAGATTTAAACAATTTGTAGTTGCTTAATAACCTAAATGTTTCAAGAGCAATAAACACAGTTCTCAGTAATGTAAATCCTTTTTTATATTTAATAATATATTTAAATCACATAAAGTAAAATGCATTTTATTGCAGTATACCTAAGTGATAATTTTAGGAAAATTTACATTGTTACTGTAATTAATAAAAGATGTGACTGCTATCATATGTTACGTTATCGGTACAGAATCCCATGGGATTACAAAGATTGAAGCTATATTAATAGTAATTTAATACACTTCAGATAGGTTTTAATACACTTCAGATATATTTTCAGTTAGCGTTGGAATTACTTTTAACATTATTGCCAATTGACGATGAATAAAATTACAGAACTTTTATTTGTCTTTGATATTATAAAAATTTATTTCTTAATGTAGCTTTAAGTTATTTAAAAAGCCATTATATCTTAGCAATATTAGAGGTTAATAGACAAATGTAATATTGTATGCTGTATTACGTAAGTATTGTTGCGTTTTTCTCTTCCTGACACCAGTTGTTACGTTATTTCCTTCCTTCACGTTCGTACGGGGTTCGTAGATTTGGAGTGAATAACGACGACACTTGATGAAGTATCGAAACACACTTTATTAGCCAGTATTGTCAGGACAGCTCCAAAGCACATTTTTACAGTCGTCGAAGATCTACTATAAACACGCTGACACGCTCAGCGACACAGCCTCTAGGTTATCAGGCTATCACGGTGGAGACAGCTTCACGGCAAAGCACTAGAATACAGCTCTCGACTCTGCTTGGTCGTTCTCGGAACTCCACGTACTCTCGAGAATCTCCACGCTACAACTCGCGATGCACTAAAAGACTCTCCCGATGCACTCGACGGCCAACTCGGCGCTAGACTTCGAGATATTCGCTCAATGACTGACTATCAGCTCGCTAGATGAGGCACACACACTCACTGACTGCGGACCAGCAGGGTTTATATAGCTTTTGGCTTGTGTTCGAGAACATTTTGGGCTAAACCGGTAAGAATTCGTTCCAGAAGGTTCTCCATCCGTACATGGCACACGGAATTTTTTTCGCCAAATGGGCGATTTCCCGCCAAATGTAGCAACCCTGTGTTCCCTTGCCATTTTATGACAACCCTAAAACTGCTTTGCGGGGAAGCCATCTCACCGCGCCTGGACATTTCGTAACAGTATGTAGTATATTTAGAAGCATTCTGATGCATTATGATGAAATTTCAAAGTAACATACAGATCCTAAGCCTATTTAATATAACATATTTTGTAATTTTCCCCCACGGCTCTTAAGTTTTTTAATGTTTTGATATTTTTCACTTTACCCTGGAATTAAGAATGGATAAACAAATGGACCCTTTTTAAAGAGAAATTATTTTTTCCGTTGAATTTAATTATTCAGTATAACGATTTAGTTTTATAAGGTGGCAACTGCAGATTTTACTTTTATTTGAAAAAAAAAGAATATTCAGATATTTTTACGTAAACTTTAAAAACATTTTTATGTAGTAATTTACTTTTTCCTTTGAGCAATCTGTAATATACTCAAGTTTTTCATATTGTATTTTTCAATGTCATTCATTCAAGTTTATCATTCATTTCATATATAAGTTAAAAAAAAAGGCCGAATTATTTATATGAGTTGAAATGCGTAATGTAGCAAACACACACAGATTTTTTGGGTGTGGGGGAAAGATTTTTTAGCTAATAAAAATGAAGCCCTTTAAACTAAATTTTAATATCCTTTAATCTGATATCATTATTTATTTTAAGTTATTTATCATCATATTGCATTTCGTAACAAATGTTAAATTGCATATTAATTATAAATTACTTGATACACTTAAGGGAAATTTAAGGGAAATTTAATATTTTAATTAAATTAAAATATATAAGTTTTATATATTTTAATATTTAATTTAATTAAATATTAAAATATATAAAACGTGACTAGTGAACAGCTTTACGATTTAATTAAAAAATTAAAGTTTGTATACATTATAATATTTAAATATGTTATAAATACAGAACATTTAGAAACGAAAAGTTCAACATTTCATAGACAATTTATTTTCTGCCTGCAGTTAAATTTATCCTAGCATGCATGTGATTGGCTAATATAAATGTTACAGTAACAACTTCAGTAATACATACATAATTTGTAATCTCTTCTTACTTAATATAGACTGGCAATTATATTAATAGCATCATAGTATGTTGATAAATTCTTCACGATGATGAATCAACTTTGTGTATGAAGTCACTAGTTATTAATAATTCGTATGCATGCTCTATTATTTAAGAATAATGTACGTCGTTTGGCTGTGATAGGCCACGTGGTTTATGTCGACTAATCAACGTTCCCTTTCACCTGCAAAGTAGTAATAACTAGTGGATAGAAAATGTTGCAGATGTTTAATGATCCATGGACATTTTCTTAATACCGGCTATATTATATATTATAATTTCCTCCATATATTGTTTTCGTATCAGTTATTCTAGTGCGCATTTTGATTTCTTTCATGTATTGTTTTCTTCCGTACAGGAAAGAAACTGTATAGGTGTATTTAGATATATTTTGAAGTAGCAATCGTAATTTTCTGCTTATCTATCCGTTACTTGTTCAATAGTTTAGGGGCAGACTATTATGGCGGGAAGAAATGATTGAAATATAATCTAGGTCTACAAATGGCTTATAAATATATTTTGATCACCCAAAACGTAGACTGAAAATAAAACGATTCTGTAGTAATTTGTGGCATCAGAAACATCTTCAATTAAATATAGTTTTCATAAAACTTTTGACCAAAATTGGTCTTTTTTGTATTGTTTTTACAACTTTCCTTATAATAATAATATAGATATATATATACAGTGTCTCACAAAAGTGATGGGACACTTGTGCTTTACAAAAGGAAACTGTAATAAAATAAATTAAAAGAACATGTAAACATTTTTGTGGGTGTGTTTCATGCTTAAATTTAATAACAATTCTTAAATAACATACATTTTCTCATAATATTAAAATATTACTTTAATAAAAATACAATTGTTTAGAACGGAGCAAAAAAATGGCTCACATATGTGATGGGACGCCATTAGATACGTACTACAATGACCATTAGATACGTACTACTACGTACTACAATAAAAATATTTTTTGGGGTTTATATTTTTACTCAAAAGCAATTGGCAATAATTTATAAAATCGTCTGGAGTATTTCACTCCAGTTTGTTTTTGAATTTTTGTGTTTTTTAGCTCTGTGCAGCCATGAATGCTAAACGAAAAGAAACCTTGCCTGAAATTCGAAAATTAGTTATTAATTTGCATATTGAACGTGGAAAATCTATTAGAAAAACTGCTGAAACAGTTAACTTGAGTCATTCAACAGTTTTCAGTATCATTAAACGATATAAAAAGAATCATATGATTCAGGATAAAAGAAGATCTGGCCGACCATCAAAGTTAACCAATGGAATAAAGCGAATTATCGTTCGAAATATTAAAAAAAAATCCAAGAATGAGTGCTCCTACAGTTGCTGCTGATTTACAAGCATTATATGGAGTAATTGTTAATCCTGAGACTATTAGAAGAGTAATTCGACTTGCTGGATATAACGGTAGAGCAGCCAGGAAAAAATTCTTCGTAAGTGAAAAGAATAGAAACTCAGACTGGCTTTCGCAAAATCCAACATAAATAAGAATTCTGATTACTGAAATGAAGTTATATTTGCTGATGAGAGTAAATTTAATATATTTGGTTCTGACGGTAGAATCTTGATGTGGAGAAAACCCAGGGAAGAATTTCGCAAACAGGACTTGGGGCCAACAGTAAAACATGGTGGAGGAGGAGTTATGGTATGGGTGTGTATGTCGTCCGCTGGAGTTGGTAATCTTGTTTTTATTGACAGTATAATGGATCAGTACAAGTATATTGACATTTTAAATCAAAATTTGAAAACTTCAGCACGAAAATTGAACCTTCATAACGATTTTAAATTCTACCAGGACAATGACCCCAAGCAGACTGCTTTGAACGTTAGACTCTGGCTGCTGTATAACTATCCTGAAATAATAAAAACACGACCACAATCTCCAGACTTAAATCCCATAGAGAATATTTGGCAAGAATTGGAATCAAGAATTCGCAAACACACCATTTCTTCAAAACAACAATTAAAATCGGTGCTTCAAGAAGAATGGGGTAAAATTACTCTAGAAATCACAAAAAAATTAGTCGAATCCATCCCAAGAAGATTAAATCATGTTTTAAAAGTAAAAGTATATCCAACAAAATACTAAAACCTTTTAAAAAGGAAAATTTTTGGATAAATATTTGATGGAAAAGTAAGTGTCCCATCACTTATGTGAGCCATTTTTTGCTCCGTTCTAAACAATTGTATTTTTATTAAATTATTATTTTAATATTTTGAGAAAATGTATATTATGTAATAATTGTTACTAAATTTAAGTATGAAACACACCCAAAAAAA